CACGCTCCACTAAGAACCTAATGCCAGTTTAGTTGACACAGTATTACATTTCCTTAAACAAAAGGGTCAGCGCCTGACCTGCCTGTTTCATGATTCTAAATTAACATTTGGGGTTTGGGGTAGAGGTGTGTATTTTAAGAAAAATGCCCATTATTTGGTACTACTCTTACCAATTATCAATTACCAATTGCCAGTAATTGGTACTAGTCTTGCCAATGATTCTTATTTTTCATTTCTCGATGGAAACTTTAAACCTCTTTTATTCACCCCTTTGGTTTAATGTGTTCCTGCAATTACTTTAGTTTTCAATAATATTTTCTCCTTCAATTTTAACATGTAATGATAGGATACCAGAAAAGATAACATCTTCAAAACCCCAGTGTTAAAAATACCTTACATGGGTGTAAGCTTTTTGGAGAAGATATAAGAAAAGATTATCTGAAATATTTTTTCTACCTCTCTCTGAAATTATTTTTAGCATTTGATTATTCTTGCTAAAATAAATATCAAAAGCACTGAGTATTCCATAGAAAAGTATTCCCCCTTACACACTTCGTTTTTGCAGCATAGAGTTCATGGAGTAACTGTTGAAATAAGAGTAATGGATGCTTGTTTTCTGGAAAATTCTTCAGATTTCCAAAGAAAAAGTACATGCAGCCCCTTAGCAGTGAAATGCTGTGAATTCAGTGGCGCTTTTTAATGGTGAACATGCATCATTAAACACTTTTTAGCACCAAAGCATTTTTTTAATGTTGCAAAAGCAAACACCTAGGGAGGGTTTTGTTTCTTTTGTTTTTTGTTTTTGTTTTTGTCATATTTGACCCTTCCTAGAGCTGCGTAAAAATGGAAGTCTTTAAAATAAAACCTCCTCAAACATACACAGATCTGATTCTAATGCAACAACAAGTTTGGGACAGATACAGCCAGCAGCATCCCTAAAGATGAAGAAGAGAAAAAGACAAAACGATAAAGTGCACGAGGTAACTACCTGTGCCTGCCAGCCACGGCACTCTCTTACTGTGAAAGAGAAAACACAAATGTGTGCAAAGGCTACCTACTGGTCTGTATGACAGAGAACTAGCAAACCTGCAGTTTAGGCAGTTCTGGGATTATACAGTATTTTGGCGCCTATCTGCTACTTGGAATACTCAGTATGCACCTACATATCGATCGTTATATTCATGTGCTGTGCCATCTCTGATGTTTTAAGTACATACACAATCGCAAAATATAATTGGCTACCACTCGAGGCTTGGGCTTGCCTCCTGCTCCTGGGTGCACTAGGGAATTCCCACCAATGCTTCAGCTCCATCCAAACTCTAAAGCTTCTCCGCGGTAAATGCATGGTTTCTACAAAACAGGGCCAAAAATAAACTTTCTGGCTCCAAGTCCACCAAAGAATGAAGCTGGAATTGTGGACCGAAGAAGAATTTTCTTGGTGGTTGGTGAACATGGAGGACTGCCATGACATCCATGAGGCCTTACTCCAGGTAACTCCCCCTTCTCTGAAGGCTGACATTTCCAAATGCATGCAACTAATGGTAACAATGTCACAGTGACTAAAGGGAACAGTCAGGATCAGTGGTTTGATATGTATTTTCTGTGTGTTCATTTAAAACCCTTATTAGGAATCTTAAAACTCATATTCATCAAAAAAGCAATGGAAATGTTAATATTCTAAACAAGGAAAATAAAAAAAAAAAAACATACACCTGAAATCCCTAAAGCTCAGATTCAACAAATCTGAACTACCTTTCTTCATAATGTTTCATTTCAGAACTCTGCTGAGACCTGATGTTAACACGAAGACTGGATTTGTTCTGTATTAAATACGAACTATAAATAAATATTTGAGGTATGTTATGACAAATAACTTTAATATAACATTTAGCTAAATAAATGTACATTTACCTTGAAAATCTAGTTAAACATTAAATCGTGATATTTCCTACAGATGTTTCCACAGCTTTTTTTTTTATTTACACAAAAAAACCTCTCTACTCTTCAGAAACGGTAAAATATCAAAAAATTGAAATGCTTTAACCTCACGATTTTATAGTCACACCTTGCCTTTGTTAACCAAAAGCTATTGTATGCATTGTGTAGTGTAAAAAATGAATAATGGAGTGAGAGAAATGTATGTCTGAATCCTGACTTTGCCATTCTGTACAAACCTAAATGAGTTCTTTTACGTTTTTTAAAAAATAATAAAATCAGCCGGGCATGTGGCTTATGCCTGTAATCCCAGCACTTTGGGAGGCAGAGACAGGTGGATCACTTGAGGTCAGGAGTTCAAGACCAGCCTGGTCAACATGCTGAAACTCTCTCTCTACTAAAAACAGAAAAAAAATAGCTGGGTATGGTGGCACACACCTGTAATCCCAGTTCCTCAGGAGGCTGAAACAGGAGACTCACTTGAACCCAGGAAGCGGAAGTTGCAGTGAGCCGAGATTATGCCACTGCACTCCAGCCTGGGTGACAGAGCAAGACTCTGTCTCAAAAAAAAAAAAAAAAAAAAAGAATCAAATCTTTGCAAGGTAATTAAGAGGATCAAAATGAATGATGATATATATTAAGTGCCTGACAAAATGCTCTACAAATTGTCAACACTCAACAAATGCTAAATTGTTTCCTCTCTGTTCCTCCTTTCTCTCCATCTCCAACACCTTGATTCTGAATTACTTTTGAATATTTTCAAGAATTAAATCCGCCTATAAAGAATAAGGACTTAATGCTAATGAAAATAACCAAAGAATGTGCCCCAACCACCCATCTTACCTCCTGGGAGTTTCTAAATTAATAGGATGAACTCAAGGATACTGTATTTGCATATTAAAGCTAAATAATATATGAATTTACAGTTTATAAAGGAACAAGATGACCTTTTCCAAAACAAGTAATTCGAAGCCTAAAGTCATGGAGAGTCTTCATTAAAACTTCTAATAGGAGCTGTGACTATAAAGTAATGTAATTTATTAAGAAACATATAAGACCCTATATATACAATTAAATGGTATCATCTACAAAATAGTCACTTCAGTTGGCTATGTAATATTCCAATGATGCTACCATAGCCCCAAGTATTTTGTGAACAACACTTAATTGGTACATATTCCAAAGCTTTATTTTCTCATGATTTTTACTACTTAGTCTACATTCACCAACAACACATTAATGAAATACCCGCTCTTAACAAGGAGCAGATACTTGAGCAAGTACAATATTAACACTGTGGTGCACATTTCTTTGAGTTCTGGCCTAATCATCTCAAAGGATGTTATGGAGTGGCAGATGGCAGTCAGGTAAAATGACACCTGAAGATACCTGGCACCTGGTCAGTGATCGCCGAACTGGATGACTGTTCAAGGCAGCAAAGGGAGTAAGGGAGCTCTCTAACTACCCCGTGCTGAGTCCAGCAATCTTAGCTACCAGAAAAAGTGCCATTCCCATCCACATTCTCTCAATGCAGTATCTTAATGATCAGAGGAAAATTAAGAAAACACCACACCTCTCCAACCTACATATATTTAACTCCCACACCAAAGGAAACTTTCTCCTTTAAAGGATCAAAGCTCTCCCACAGAGGGTAAAGGGGAACCGTGAGGCCCCAGAGGAGACACTAGGTCAATCAGCAAGGTTTTCTGAATCAGCAAGATTTTTTGAATACTTCCAATATACGCCACATTGGCCAGAGTTTGACAATTACCAGTGCAATTACAGTCTTAACCAAGCCAGAATCCTCACTTCCCCGAGAGCCAAGCCCAACAGCCAGAGGGAAGTCCTTAGCCCCTGAGACCACTAGCTCCACCCCTTGTAGACATTGTTCAGTCTAATAGTGTTAACGCAAACTGCACGTAACCAAGAGAACAACTTGACCAATGTCATTCCTAGGAAAAGAGGGAAACAGCCTTATGCCCAGGAGTATTTGCACAATTCCACCTGTGCAGTCAAGCAAGGATGGAAAGCAGAAGCCTGAGTCTGTCAATCACATCTCTTCTGGGGATAAGGGTAAACCAGAAGAGAAAAACATTTCCCTAATTAGCCCTCCATGACCATAGGCTCCTTGGCAGAAAAAGTTCACAATTATATCAGCATTTGGCCCTTACACTCCCTTGCAGCCAGAACCCATGAACTAACTTGCTATCAATTCGTTAGCGGCGTCAGGAAGCATCTATCTTAAGAGCCATGTAGAGAGCATTCTGTATGATGCTTACGTCAAAGTGATGTGCTGGGAGGTACTGAAAAGAATGATGGATAATGAACCCAAAGTGCATTTAGGAACAGAAAAATCTTCTCTCAGAATCACTGCCAGAAACTTACAGTAAGGGGGAATCAAAGGGTAGTGTAAAACGATTCCAACTCTGATAAGGTAGGGTTCAATAGGATGGACTGGTTTATTTTACATAATTTTCAACAATTACTTAAGATCGTATTCTGTTCCAGAACACAGATCTCCCTCCTCCTGTATTCAAAGTGATTTTCATATCCCAGGCACAGATTTCTTGATATAAGTACTCATTTTCAGGAACAACCACAGCAATTTTCCGTCCAGAAAAAAAGAAAACCACACAGATTTGCCAGTGCTTTCAAGATGTAACTAAAATACTCAGGTGGGACTTTTCCCAGTGACCTTGAGGACCCGTAGAGCTAAAGAAAATTTCTGCAACAATTTTCTTGGATGAGAAAGCTGTCATTTTCTTTCCTTATTATGCATTTCAAATTACAGTTTCTAGCCATATTGTTTAGCACACTAGTTTTAAAGCCCCTTACGAAAGAATACTGGAGTTGATATTTAAGCTATCAGATTTATGATTCAGCAGCCTCTTTATCTTAGGATGGGGCAGGCAGACTAAAAGAGAATGTGTCCTCTGACCTGAAGTAGCTGTTCCTACTATCACACTATGCCTATGGTTCCTTTGAAGCATTTGACAAATTCTACCTGATTTATAACTCTGCTATGGCTTAAAATGCTATTAACAGTACTGGATGGAAAGTTCGGCTTCCCCTTTTCAGAAACATATCTGCTTTATTCTGTGAAAGTAAACGTAACATGCTGCACATACATTTTTCCAATCAAATTGCATAGTTGAGACAAAGTCATTTGTGCTTTGTAGCAGAACTCACAGTAGGTGTTCATATCTAAAAACTTTGATTTGGAAATGCCAAGTCCTGGGCAAGCTCACCTTTGTTTGGAGTGTTAGTTAATGATATGCACCGCCATTCCCCTTCCCATGATTTTGCTAACCGTGTACCTCAGCCTATACCGTAGGGGAGCATGAGCTTTAAATTAACACAACGGAAATGGGAACAAATCTAGCTGAACGTCTCCTTCTTGGAGAGAAGCGGGGAAAGGCTCTCAGTCTTGTTGAGGTATCCAGCCCTCAATGAATAGCGGCTGTGTATACTGAGTTTTGTTGGTTTGAGGATTGTGTCTGTAGAGGTTAAAAAAAGAAATAAAGAAAAGAAGGCACGGTTGTTTCTCAAGTCGCCATTTTCAACTCAACCAACAAAACTAAATTCTTCCATTTTCAAGCTTCAGGAGGGCGGCTCCAGGGCAGCTGGGCTCTCTTCCACCCCCGGGTCCGCAGAGGAACTTATTGCTTCTGGGAAGGGCCCCGGGTAGGTCTGTGCTGCGCACTGGATCCCTTTTTGCAGACCAGTCTCTTCGTGGAATTCTCCCTGGGTGCTGAAAGCTGGGCAAGATCTAGTCCGGGCACTGTCGGGGTGGCCCACTCTCTCACTCACGGTGCTCAGGGGGAATTCTCTCCACCTCCGCCTCTGGAGTCCATCCTCCTTGTATTTTATGGAGTACCAGGCCAGAAAAATAAAAATAAAGCCAACGAATTTGAGGCCGGCCGCCAAACCAAAATACACAAAACGAAACGACGTCACGTTGTACTCCCAGCAAGAACCCTGCACTCCACACTCCTGTTGCCAGAGCATGCAGGTGGTGTCAATGACTGCTCCAAAGTAGATTGGAGTAGGAATGTATGCTAGAGAGGGAAAGAAGAAAATACGAAGATTTTATAGCATGTCTTACAAGGGAGAACAGATTTGTAAATTAGCAAGGTACTTGTGTGCTCTAAAACCACTTGATGGGAGGGATTTTCTTATGTTACCAGATTTTTTTAAAGACACATCACATTTTATCACAATATATTTATCATAAAAGCATTCGCTATTTGATAAACACTTAAAATCGAGTTTGCCACCCAGAATGCGCTGTTGCTTTTTACGATCAAATCAACATGTTGTGCACTTTAAGTAGATACAATTTTGTCAATTATACCTCAATAAAGCTGAAAACAGGGATATTGCTAAAAATACAATTAGAGACTCGTTTTAAACCTAAAAATTGGATTTTGTCATTAAGTATTCAACAGGCTACACTAGAACCCTTTATTACCCACCGAAATTCAATACACTTAGTTCTTGTGGGTTGGGCGCTAGTCCTTGGATGCAGGAAGAGTACGAGAAAAGCAGCATCTCTTGTGAGTCAAACACCACATAAAATGGCAACTTTATAAAAGCACTTATAAATCCAAGAAATTATATATATAAAGGTACTTTATTATGGCATAAATTTCATCTTTGAAGTTTATGAAACATCTGAGATGAATAGTAGCTTCGTCATCTGGGCTATGATATAGACATTTCCTTAATCCAATGAGGAAAAAAAGTCTACCTAGTACATAGACTCCTTCACCACATGCTACTCCCTTTGCCAAAATGTTCCCCAAACTCATTCACCTTGCAAATATCTATGCTCCCTTTAAATTCCTGACTTACTCAGATGCCATCATATTCTCACTGCATTTTGTATCTACCTCCATTTTATTAACTATCACATAGTATTGTAAATGTTTGCAAATCTGTCACTCCATAAGCTTCTTCAAGGCAGAGACCATGCCTTTTATTCTTTGCATCCCAAAGACCTCAATAAAAATTTACAGAAGATAGCGATGGGAGAGAGGAGGGAGGAAGGAATAAAAGAGAGAAAGGAGGAAGGGAGCCAGGAAGACAGAAAGGAAGGCAGAGAGGATAGGTGGGCTGATAATCCAGGAAGCTGTGAGTGATACATTTTAAATAAGTTGTTTTTATTTAAAATAAAGTCTACTGGTTTAATTTTAATATTATTAAAGTTTTTTTTTTAACTCTTTTTCTGCTTCGGAATTTGGGGGGAAATGAAAATTGGCTTGTTGGCCCAACTAGACTTTTTCACAATTCATAGAAGTTAAAATAAAGTTGAATTAAATAATAAATGCCTGCAATGTCCTCCCTCCACTTATTCTTGATGCTGTGGCATACATGTGTGGACTCACCTTTACCTCTAAATCGTATGGAATGACCCCAACTCTATGGCATCAGAGAGGGGCAAAGCAAAAAAAAGAAATTACCTTTTTCTGGCCAGGCATGGTGGCTCACATCTGTAATCCCAGAACTTTGGGAAGCCAAAGCGGGTGGATCACCTGAGGTCAAGAGCTGAAGACCAGCCTGGCCAACATGGTGAAACCCCGTCTCTGTAAAAAAAAAGAAAAAGAAATGCAAAAATTAGCCAAGCATGGTGGCAAATGCCTGTAATCCCAGTTACTTGGGAGGTTGAGGCAGGAGAAACACTTGAACCCTAGAGGCAGAGGTTGCAGTTTGCTGAGATTGTGCCACTGCCCTCCAGCCTGGGCAACAGAGCAAGACTCTGTTTCAAAAAAAAAAAACTTTTTTTATATATATATATGTCTTTTCTTATTCAATTACCCCTTTGGTTAACAAATCTCCTTATTTCTAAATAATACTGTTTAACTTTTAACAAGAACTACAAGACAGATTTTTTCTTTTTTTTTTTTTTCTTTTAGACAGAGTTTTGCTCTTGTTGCCCAGGCTGGTGTGCAGTGGCTCTATCTCCGCTCACTGCAACCTCTGCCTCCCAGGTTCAAGCAACTCTCCTGCATCAGCCTCCTGAATAGTTGGGATTACAGGCACGCACCACCACACCCAGCTAATGTCTTTGTATTTTTAGTAGAGATAGGGTTTCATCATGTTGGCCAGACTGGCCTCGAACTCCTGACCTCAGATGATCCACCCGCCTCGGCCTCCCAAAGTGCAGGGATTAAAGCATGAGCCACTGCACCCGGCCTAAAGCAGACTTCTTCACTATATCTAAGTGTGTCAGGATTTCCTTTAAACAGCATGCTTTTTTAAAAATGGTACCCTCAAAGTCTTATTAGTACCAAACAAAAACAAAAACAAAAACAAGCCACTCATTACATGGAACTAGAAGCATCTTCCTCCTGGGTCTTATTGAAAAGAGCTCATTTTTGGACTGGGCCATCAACCACAACATATGACAAATGGAGAATGCCAGGGGATTAGTGCTTTAGGGGGTCAGACGATGCCCTTTTTAAACATTACCTCTTCAAAACTGAAATAAGAAATTTGAATCAAAAAACAATTTTTTGTCTTGTAGACAATAACACTGATTACTGAGGAGAAAATAACAGCTGAAGAAAATGACAGACTGCCACTTAAGAAAAAGAAATTATAAAAGGAAAAATAAGCTTGAAGACAAGGATATCAATTAAAAATACATTGAAACTGATCAAAGGAACATTGTATTTCACATGCTTATTTCCCATTGTCTCAAGAACTCACAGAGTGCTGTGGTGTTTGTAAAAAGAAGACCTATATTCCTCCTGCACAAATGTACTCTGTGGTTTGTCACATGGACACAGCACTACTGAGCTTCTCTTTTTGATAAGTAAAGACTTACAAGGCAGTCCCTATATGTCACTTTGGGCACCTTTCTTTTCCTTTCTAAAGTTTTTTATTTTTCTCAGAAAACATGATAGGTATACTCTTTGTTTAGCCCAATAAAATTACTATACAGAAGTAAGGAATTGAAAACTTCGCAAATAAAGACCGATTTCTATTGCTTTCATAGTAAAAAGGCATAAAGGGGTCAGAATGCTAGGATTACAAATCCTTGACAAATTGCTTGATTTCCTATTTCTTGCTGTGCAAAATGCTGGGGAATTTTGTCCAAGTTTATGTTCATGATGGAAAAGAAACTAACCTAACGTTGGTTTTGTTTTGTTTCATCAAACAACAGAACCTGTCAGCTTCTAGTTCAAATCAGAAAACAAGGAAGTTGTACCCTCACCACTAACCTGTAAAATCTTACTCATGGTAATAAATGACGTGACTTGCCATTTTTAAAGGACAGTGAAAATTTGCCATCTGCAAAGAGGAACTAAGAGGCGCACTTGGAAATTCAGGGACGTACCAAGTGTTCGCAACAAAACAAACTGCATTCCCAGTGCGAAAGGTCTCTCCTCATCTTCTACGGACCTGCAGTGAAGGGAAAGAAGGCAATGTTTTTTAAATAGTAGCCCCAAGAAAATGAATGCCAAATCAAGTCGGCTTTGTGCAGAGCCAGGGACTAAAGAGATACCATGCCAAAATATTTAACTCACTATTATTTACTAACAATAGCCACATAAGATTGCTGGTGGCTAAATCACTGAATAAAGATCTTCCCAACGCAGACACCAAAGAAACTCTGACTAACTCTAACTGTTTCTACATAAATACTGGTGGAAGGTTAAAGGCTTTCGGCTGAAGAAGCTGAAATGCCTCTAACTGAGCTTCCAAAATCAGATCCATTTTTTTTTTTTAATAGAATTTCATCCTAAATACTGCGGGGTTTTTTTGTTTTCGTTTTTGTTTTTCTGCCTGGGTGCCTGCATCTTCCAGAGTGGTAGATGTGTACATTGAAAATTACTCCAACAATTCTTCCAAAACAGGAAGAAAAAAGAGTAAAGAATGAAAGTATATTCAAAAAATGTATAGGAAACAAGTCAAACATCAGAGGAAGCATAAGCCCTCCAACCACGTCTTTTTTTCTTTTTTAAAAACTTACACTCCAAGTTATTCCCATGTGGCAGGAAGATTGGCGTCTACCGGTTTTGTAATTAGCAAAGATTAAAGGGTTCCTTTTCTGAAATTTTAGGTTAGAAGCCAGCTGGCTATTTGCCATGTATGAACACTAAAGGAAAAAGTAGCCTATGGGTTATTTAATATCTCTTGAGGAATTAAAGTGCAAAGAATGAGATTATTTGAGTAAATTTATGAATGATTCATATGTCTTTTTAAATGCTGCAGTACCTTATCCTCTCCATCGAATACCCATGAGAGTACGGTGTATAATGGGAACTTTCCCAAGACCAGTGCCCTTGTCACCTTTTCCCTAATTTCTTTATTTCTCATAGCAATTTGCAAAGTGCTGCACACAGGTTGTTATTCCATAAATATCTGCTGCTGGAAGAAATGAGTAAACAAACCAGTGGGCCTTTCATACACCACTATCTGGCTGTCAAGAAACAGCTTTGCTTGGAAATGCCTGATTCTTTCCCAGTGGGAAAGAAGCCAGAATACGCCTGGTGCAGCCCACTGCCCTTGCTAAGCAATGACATCTCAGCAGGCGCTTCCTGCAAGGTGCCCAGCATTGTGGCATCTGAGGAGCCTGGAGGAAGAGTAAGAACTGACTCCCTTTCTTCACTCCTTCCCTGCCCTCCACCCCCTAATCCCCCTGAAGCTGCCCAGACCCATGGGTGTGCTCTTCTGGCTTCACCACGCTGCCCAGTTCCTCTGTCCACTGCAGTCCTTACTGCAAATATCAACACACCGATGTGAATGTATCAGTGTGGCAGGCCTCCATAACAACTGTTTCAGTACTGGCTGAGTGGTTAAGTTAAATATTAAAAGCCAGTGCCCTTATACAAATGCTGGAATGTAACAAAAGCCCACCAAGACTTTTGCCTAGGTCTTTCCTGGGACTTAAAGCATGAAAAAACAATGAAGGAATTCTTAAGAGGATCCATTTAGGATTAAACAAGTTTTATTGGGGGTCTGCAAAAACTCCCTAGGCCTCCACAAACAAGTTTATTGGGGGTCTGAAGGAACTCCCCAAACCTCCATGATTTAGCAGGAGATAAGATAAGGGTAATCACCCCAGCACCTGGACCCATTTAGATTAAGTAAACTTACTGAGGCTCCAGAAGAAGGTCTTCAAGATTCAGACCTTGGTTATAGGTTAAAAGAAATTAATCACTTATGTCTTTAGATGAATGCACACTTACACATAGACAGATAGCTTAGAATGTATATAAGCTCTAATAAACTTTGTAATTTTGAGTTGGTCTGGTGATAATTTCCAGGCCTTCTCCCTGTAACTGGTTACAGAAATTAAAAACTCTCTTTCTCCCCAGTTCATCTGGATCTCTTGTTATTGCACTGCAAAAAATAGCAGCCCAACTCTCATTTTGGTTCACGAACATCAGTGCCAACATTTTTAATAGGACAAAAGTAGCTTCCGTGTTCTCTTATCAACAAAAAATCCAAACAAGACATGGCAAAGAAAGCACAGCCTGAAAAACTAAAAAAAAAAAGAGAGAGAGAGAGAAATCACATTCCCCAATATGCCCTTTTCTTGACTCAACTCTGAAATTTTGTATGATAGTAAAATTAATGAACTCAGCATTTCAAATTGCAAGCCCAGCATAAATCACCACTGATCCCAAAGGTAGTAACTATCTAAAAGGTTGAAGATAATAGCCTTTGCTGTATGCACGATTTAGCAACTTTCCCAAATTACTTCCTGCCCTCCTCTGGGGTCCAGCTTCTCATAGCTAATAGAGTGATGACTTTCAACTGCTGAAGTTGAACCTCACAGGGCAGAGACTTCAGGAATCAAAAACATCAAAGAAGTTTCATTATACGTTAAGAATATAACCCAACTGAATAAAAGAACCTTCCAAAGTATGGAATGTTACAACCTTCCTTTCCCTTCCCAAAAGGGAAAAATCCCTCTTAAGTTCACCAGGCAAATATCCGAGCGCCCTCCTGCACATGCTAATTTTGCTTTGCTCTATGATTTACCACATAAGCCCCTTCTCCTAGATTATGTGCTCTGGAAATTCTAAGTGCAGAACCCACCCCAGAAGCTGAATGCTCTTCTCACCTAAGTGTTACTATGATGGCCGATGGTTGGGCACAAGCTGTGATGAAGGTGACTATGAAAAGAAAAACTAAGAATGGGATAAGGGTATTGCAGGTCCGTTTACATTTCCCAGACACAGCATAGCCGTTCTCATTGAGATAAGTCTTGACAATAACCACACGGAGCTGACTGCGCTGTCCCACGGTGGGCGGAGTGATCACTTGTCGACTTTGGACACAGGTGCATTCTGTATAATTCCGTATCTAAGTGAGCAAAATAAAGATCAGTTGTGTGCCCCTCAAAAGCTGATGGGGCATAGGAATATTAAGACAAAGTTAAGTAAAAGTACTCTAAAATAGCTCGAATATTTTTTAAAACACAAAATATTTCATTGAAAGTAACTTCCTCATTGATAACAGTAAGGATCTCAAGTGTGTGTCTAACAGAACCAAAGTCTGCTGGTCAGAATTGTTTAAACCTAAACTTTCCTAAGAAGCTTTCAACATTCAATATCATTCACATTCCGCAGACTCATTTTTGTCATCATCATATTCTGCCTCAATTGCTGTTAACTCTTGGGCTCTCCAATTAGAGAAGCCCTTCAAAAACCAGAACCAAACCTTATTTTTCTTTGTGCTCACAGAGCACCTAGCACAACTCTGGGCACACAGAGGGCCCTAAAGTAAACATCTATTAAATGCAGAGAATTCATAATGCAACCGTGATGACTTCAGCACCAATAATAGTAAACACCTCATTGGTGTTCCATTTTCTTTTCTTTTTCAACTTTTATTTTAGATTCAGGGGGTACATGGGCAGGTTTGTTACATGGGTCTACCGCGTGATGCTGAGGTTTGGTGTACAGATGATCCCATCACCCAAGTCGTGAGCATAGTTCCCAACAGGTAGTTTTTCACACCTCCCTCCCCACCTCCCCCTCTAGTAAGTCTCCAGTGTCTATTGTTTCCGTCTTTGTGTCCGTGAGTACCCAATGTTTAGCTCCCACTTATAAGTGAGAACATGTAGTGTTTGGTTTTCTGTTCCTGCATTAATTCACTTAGGATAATGGCCTCCAGCTGCATCCATGTTGCTGCCAAGGTCATGATTTTATTCTCTTTTATGGCTGTGCAGTACTCCATGGTGTATATTATCACATTTTCTTTATCAAATTCATCACTGATGAGCACCTAGCTCAATTCCATGTCTTCACTCTTGTGTATAGTGCTGTGATGAACATACAAGTGCATGTGTCTTTCTGGTAGAATGATTTGTTTTCTTTTAGATACATATCCAGGAATGAGATTGCTGGGTTGAGTGGTCGTTTTGTTTTAAGTTCTTTGAGAAATCTCCGAACTGCTTTCCACAGTGGCTAAGTTAATGTACATTCTGGTGCTTCCATTTTAAACATCTTTTTAGTCCCTATAATTAGCTGGTGCCCTACTCCCTACAGAAGAGCAACCAGCTCCATAGATGGAACTTGACTACCACAGCCCCCACCCAGTACTGCTCCTGGACTCTGACAGAGTCACGCTAAATGGACATCAGCTGAGCTGACCTTCATTGCAACCTTGAATACCTGAAGCAGTGGTAAGAATAAGTATGGAGACAGGGCACTGTTTGGCTATCATGCTCAAAAGACTGCTGGCATTTTTTAAAGGATGAGCACTCACTCTCAAGGAAGGACTTAGCCTCCAGGAGAACAGATCTCACCCTTTCAACATGGCAACACAGTGGAGCTCACCAGTTATACGATGGGGAACAAACAACAGGAATTCTCAATTTGTCATTGCCGTTTAAAACTCAGACATCAAAAACAATATCCCCAAAACATTCAGTGGATGGTATAATCCCTTATCACCTGCACAGAACAAGCACATGCACTTTAACCTTTTAGTGAAAGCAACTTCCTACAGCCTGTTCTTCACAAAGAATCAAACCGGGCTCAATAAGAAACTGAGTAGAGGCCAAGTGCGGTGGCTCAAGACTGTAATCCCAGCACTTTGGGAGGCCGAGGCAGGCGGATCACCTGAGGCTGGGAGTTCAAGACCAGCCTGACCAACATGGAGACACCCCGTCTCCACTAAAAATACAAAATTAGCCGGGCATGGTGGCATATGCCTGTAATCCCAGCTACTAGGGAGGCTGAGGCAGGAGGATCACTTGAACCTGGGAGGCGGAGGTTGCAGTGAGCTGAGATCGCGCCATTGCACTCCAGCCTGGGCAACAAGAGCGAAACTCCATCTCAAAAAAAAAAAAAAAAGAAAGAAAGAAAAAAGAAAGAAACTGAGTAGAATATGAAAACCTTCTCCCACAGTATTACGGCCCATTTATAATTTACAGGAAAGGGAATTCTCAAAATAGCCTATTCTTGAACTGTCAGAAATATCTTTACTTTGAAAGTTTTTTTTAAGCCTGAACTGAACTGATACTGTATGAAAAATGGCCATCGCCCATCTTCACAGACTCCTCAGGGGAGGTACTTTCCTATTCTCTTCTATCAGCACCAAATATGGTCATCTTGACCTTCAAATCCATCACAAGGGCCCTGTCAGAGAAACAAATGGCAGGCCTAGAGCTCAACCTTATCAAGTTTCACTGAGTTGGCGCAGAATATAAAGTAGGAGAATGCTGATATGGAACCAAATCCCTGCACCCAAATGTTCCAGTCATCCCTGGAAAAAAAAAATAATAGCAATGCATAACTTTCTTTCCTTGAGGTTTTCGTCAGAGGTATTTTGTAGGTTACTTGGAGCCTCTTGAAAAGAAAGACTGAAGTCATTGTGGCAGCATATGAATTTCATCACATCCTTGTCACAGGATGTTGGACTAACAGAAGAGGAACTTGTGAAATATACTCACCCCAGTGCTAAGATTACCACTATTAACACAGCCAGCCAGACAAGGGTTAAAGTATGTAATTCCATCTGATCCACAGACTGGCTCATACTCATGTATTTTACAGCCACAATTAACGTTGCAGCTTCCTGTCAGATTCCTATGGGGCATGGTGAGAGAAGGTCTAAGAGAGAAGAGAAGCAGATCATGAGCAACATTTACCAAAATAAAACTCATAGGAAAGGTCTTGAAATTAATAATTTGTCCATTTTAGAGAAAATATTCTTCCCATTGAATCAAAGCCATGATACCCTAAGTGGCCACCCTCAACAATTATTTTTGTGACTTTAAAACAAAACATAAAGAAAAATGTTTCAACTTTCTGGTACTACAGATTCAATGCTTTTTATCAAAGTACTGCCCCACCTCAATTTCACCCTCCCTCTTGGTGCTATGAACCTGGTCTCAACATCTAGGATCTGCATTTCTAACCCTAATATAACTACTCACCCTGTAGGCATCAGGCTCTACATCTTAACAAATCTGTACCTCAATTTCTTTATAAAATGGAGGAAATACTTTTTAGTATTGAATCAATAACATCACTGTGAGCACATGATCACAGTTAAAACCCATCTATCCCAGTTATTAATACACGTTCCTTTGACCAAAAACTTATACTCTAGAATAAATTATCAAAGAAAGGCATGAGACTCTAGAAAATAAAAATGAAGTATTTTCAAAGATGATTAGGAATCACATTGCTAGTTTGATTTAAACAACCAGAGAATAAAGATTAAGCAGTTCTTCACTCAGGATTGCCCAGGTGTGGATCCACAATCAGATATGGTGGGTTTCTTTTCTTGAGATCATGGTGTCTGATACAAAGAAATGATACCATATGAAAAGCTTGAAGAAAATAAATTCAGGCAACAAATATAGAGAGAAGGAAAGGCAGGTAAGGATATAGGCCTAGGGAGGGGAGTGTAAACAAACCGGTGGAAGAGCAGAGGAGCACCTGGGGGATCCACAGAAGAAAGAAAGGGGCTCTGTACTGCTCGTACCTAGTGACCACTTTTGCTTTTGTGACCACCAGTTTTGTGTATCACTGATGAAATGTTGTTCCCAAGACTATATGAGTTAGCAGTGGCAGATCCTTCATCCAACCATCCATTTATCCATTATCTACCCATTCAACAAATATTTTGGAATGTCTGTTATGTACCAGGTCTTATCTTTTTTAAAATAGATTTAGAGGGGGGAAACATAATTTTGTCATATGAATATATTGTGTAGTAGTGAAGTTTGGTTAGTGAACCCATCACCTGACTAATGTACATTGTACTCAATAGGTAATTTCTCACCCCTCAACTCCCCTCCCTCGCCACAAAGACTTTTTTTTTTGAGAAGGAGTCTCGCTCTGTCACCCAAGCTGGAGAGCAGTGGCGTGATCTCCACTCATTGCAAACTCTGCCTCCCAGGTTCAAGCAATTTGCCTGCCTCAGCCTTCCGAGTAGCTGTGATTACAGGTGCCCGCCACCTTGCCCTGCTAATTTTTGTATTTTTGGTAGAGACGGGGTTTCACCATGTTGGCCAGGCTGGTCTCGAACTCCTAACCTCATGATCCACCTGCCTTAGCCTCCCAAAGTGCTAGGATTACAGGCATGAGCCACTATGCCTGGCCAAGACTTATCTTTAATGACTTTGCTAGTACCACTTACACAGTAGCATAGCCCATCCCAACCATGTGTGTTAATCAGTGTTTGTTCAAAGGTTTGTTCAAAGGTTTTTTTCCTGTGGCTTCTTTCAAACTTTGATAATGAGTCCTTAAATTTTAATGGGGGAAACAAATTCAAAACAATATTAAAGTCTTATCAAGAAAGCCTTCTAACAAGGCAAAAGGCAGATAAATTCTGTTTTTCATTCATGTCACTCCACACAAAAAAATTATCACAAGACTCTAATAATCATTACATTCACAAACTTCTAGTGTCATACCATTTTAAAGTTTGTATAGACTAGTGGGTCTCACTGGGTCAATTTTGCCCCCCAGGGGACCTTTGGCAATGTTAGGAGACAATCTTGGTTCTCACAGCTCAGGGGGTGCTACTGTCATCTAATGGGCCACTAGTTCCTACTGAGGTAGGAGATCAGCAGGACCTGCTTTCTGAGTCCTGGTCACAACCCTGCTGATCAAAACAGGGTGTAGCAAAGAAACTGACCAAAACCAGAAGGACGAAGATGGCAACCAAAGCAACCTCTAATTGCCTTCATGGCTCATTATATGCTAATTATGATATATTTGCATAAGACACTCCCACCAGCACCATGGCAGTTTATAAATGATGCCACAGCAAATGGCTCAAAAGTTACCTTATATGGTTCTGGGAACTCTCTGCCCCGTTTCCAGAAAGCTTGTGAATAACCTGCCCCTTATATTGTACATGATTAAGAGTGGGTATAAATATAGCCAGCCAGCAATCCACAAGTGCTTCTCTGGGCCATTTTGCTGTACATTGCTGCTCTAATAAACTTGCTTTCTTTCACTGCCAGCTTGCTCTCGAATTCTTTCCTGTGCAAAGCCAAGAACTCCCCCGAGCTGAGACCCAATTTTGAGGTTTTGCTGGCATCACTACAACGCACAGGAAGGGCCCTACCCCCTCCCATAATACAAAATTATCTGGCCCAAATGTCAATAGTGCTGAGGATGAGATACCCTGTTCTAGACCAATTTTCACACTGTTCAAGGAGGCAAAAAGCTTTTCTGAGTTTGGGAAACAGGCACAGTCCCCGGTCACCTTTGGGTATGTTTGCTTTTCTTATGAGATCGTGGTGTCTGATACGAATAAATGCTATGAAATGAAAGGCTCTAAGAAAATCAATACATGCAACAAATATAAATAGCAATGAAAGGAAGTGGGTGTTCCTGAAAAAGTTATTAGGAGAGAAGGTGATCATGGTACACACACAAAAAGCTGCTGAAATGGCTCATCCTTTACACTGTGCTGAAAATCATTTTTAAGAATAATGATGTTCTGTCTGATTGTCATTCACTCTCCAGAAAACAGACTGGATTCTAATAATAGCACCAATGTTTAAACCTGAGTAACACTAAGCAGTCTCTCATTAGCCAGACGTGAACCCATCATGAGAGCACGAAATGCACAAGGACTACTTACTGAAGGCTGCACTCATCGTTGTGCAAAGGGACTGTGCAGCTCCCTCCCAACAAACAAAAAGCATTTCTGGCAAGACATAAAATGCACAAGGGCTTCTTGCTGAAGGTAATCCTCCAAATAAGAGGATTGTGTTAACTCAAGAATCAATGTAAGTGTTAATTTTGAGTGAGGCACGGGGCCTCGATAGCAAATACCTTATAACTGCGTAGTCCACAATGTAAGCCTGAGAGTCACACCTTACATCTTAATATAAAAATGATGAAATTACAGAGCTAGAGAGATGGAGGCATCTCTGAGATTATCTGGCAAACTTGCTAACTTTAAAGAACAGGAAACTGTAAGAGGTATCACTGCAAGCCTCACAATCGCTGAGGCCTCAGGAAAACCAGCTCTGGGGAGACAGCAAAAAAGAAAACAAGAAGTAAAAACAACCACCTTGTTATCCAATCTTTGTTAAATCAATCACTCAGGGATCGATGCTTATGTAAAGTAATACATAACAGCAAGACAACTATTTCTGCGATAGGGTCATTACAGCTAAGTATGTAAGAACACAATGGCCCTCAAAAACCACAACCACACCCCAGCAATTGTGTCCCATCACCCTGCCCCAAGACCTAAAGAACACCTGAACTTCCCCACCTAAACATACTTCTCCTACATACTTCTACTGGTCTCTATAAACCAAAGAGAAGTCTCCCAACTTTCTTAAGGGACTTCTGACTCTTTTTGAGTTTTTCTCTATTAAAAGATGTGACAAGTAGAAATCCATACATACTATGTTCAAGCCATAAAAGAACATGATTCCCACAGCACAGAGAGAGAGAGAGAGAGAGAGAGAGAGCCTCTTTAGCAAAATATACTAATAAACTAGAACAGTATCTTTCTTATAATTTCTTAATCTTCATCAATTTATCTCAGTCTTCAAGAAGACTTCAATGAGAATGTTTCTTTTCAACTCCACTTAAATTTTTGGTTTCATATTAGAACACTTCCTTGGCTATACAGAGCTATGCAACTTTGGGTTTACAAATATTATTATCATCACCATAAGCATCATTATCATTTAAAACTAACATCAGCAGAACCCTATTTTGATTCTATGAATTGCACCCTGAGATCTCAACATAAGTTGTCTCATTCATTCCTCATGAGAATTGTCATTATTATTGCCATGCTTCCATCTTTCAGACAAGGAAATTGAAGGTTTGAGGGGATAGGCACTGCCAAAGTCACACAACTAGTAAGGGTCAGAAATGGATTTAAACCCAATTTTATGTTTCACCACAGCATGCATCTGTAAGCCCCAACACTGGCAGGGAAGCTTTGTGTAACTGTCCCTCATTTTACTTCCTCCAGCGCAGGTCTTCTGGGTGGCTTATTTCACTTTCTTCTTACTGGAGAAAGCTCTAAGGCAGCTTTTCCGGCGCTCTGCTTTTAATGTTCTTGAGTGTGAGTCAGAAAGAGCTGGGTTCAATTTCATATCCACAATTCACAAGTGCTGTGAATTTCAGATTTTATATTTGTAAAACAGATATCAAAATATCAGTATCACACAGTTGTTGTGGGGGATTAGGCGGGTGAATGTATGGCCAGTGTCCAGCATTGTGCCGGGGACATAACACACACTAAGATATTGGTGTGCTATCTTTCCACACTTAACAGAAGCAGGAATGAATAGCAGTAACACAATCACAAACATGAGGAGTGCAAAAGGCTACTGTGACATTTTTCCTTTCAAAAAGGATAGTTTTTAATTTACTCCTACAGAGAATGGTGGGAAAAGAATTAGATGGAGATCTAGTTTCAGGCCTGACATTTAGTAGCTATGTGACCTTGGGCCAAATCTTTTCATCTATGGCTATTAAATACCCTTCCTGACTACACAAAGGAGAGCAAGAATAATCAACAAAGCGCAGTGTATGATAGCATATGTGCTAGCATAGGTTTGGAAGAGGACTATATTCAAGGAAGGTTGTGATTATCGTGTCTAATTGTTATTTTT